TAGAAAACTTAAGCCAAAAAAAAGATAAGTAAAAAAGGTAGGATTTTTCCCTCCATTGGTTCATATAGAAACATACCAACCCATAACGATTATGGCTAATGAGGGGAGAGGAAGGAAGGCTTAAAATTTTCAGCAAGCAGTAGTACCTTGGGTAAGGCATTTTACTGGAGGGGACCGGGGTTGGGAGCTGGCACTGTTTCTGGATCTGCATTTCCGAGGCTCAATTTCTCTTGGAGCAGCCACATCAACGTCCCTACAAACGTCCCTTGCCTACGAGATAAATCCTAACTCAGCAGTGGGGTCTTTTCCAGCCAGGTTCAAACCTGTAAGAGTTGCCCCGACAGCACACGAGCCCCGGTGTAAATGAGTGGTAAAACACCATCAGAATGTCAAACTGCTCGTAGCAAAGGGACCGTGCGGCAGCCACCTGTGATTTCACTGTGACGCCGTATCCCTGCCAACAGCTGCTGCTGTGCATTTAACCTTCCCAACCCGGCCCTCCTAAAATCCCGGGTTTCCCCTCTCGGTGCAATCACTGCTAATTCCTCCACCCCACCCCACCCCACCCCACCCCAGCCAGCCCCGGTAAAACCCTGCCCCTCGTGCCCTGACAGCCTCTCCCGCTGCCGCAGCCGCGGCTCCTCATTTACATTCGCCGCCTCTCCCGCTGCCGCCGCCGCTCCGCGCCCCCGCGGCGGGGCCGCCGCCGCCTCCCCCCGCCCTGCCGCAGACAGGGACCCTTCCCGGGGAGGCCGGGCCGGCGGGAGCCCCGCCCGCGCCGCCGGGGGAGCAGCGAGGAGCGGCGGTGAGTGCCCGGCAGGCAGCAGCAGCAGCGCCGCTCGCTCCGCAGCGCGGCGGAGGGCAGGGCAGGGCAGCGGTAAGCGGCGGCAGCGGCCGCATCCTGCTTCCCGGGGCTCAGCCGCATCCAGCTTCCCGGGGGCTGCGGGGCTCGGCTCGGCGGCACGAACCCCGGAGTAATGGGTGGGAGAGGGGGGAGGGATGGGGCTCGGCTTGCGAGGCGCGTTTGCTTAGGTTTTCTCCTTGCTCTTATTTCATGAGATACGATCCGGAGTGGCAGCTGCCTGGTGGTTTGCGCTGGTAGTTTAAGGAGCGTTGCGTTGTAACTGTCCTTCTGCAGCATAGTGGGCTCGGTTGTAATGTGAATAAGCAGTTTCAGGGGCAGGCACGTAGTGAAAATCGCGTGTGGGTTATTTCCACTCTTTTCGAATGGGTGGGAGCTGCGGGGAGAGGTGACATTAGTATCTATCACTGCATAAAAAGCATCATATCGCTGGCAGAAGGCAGGATTTTTATGTTTTTGCTTCTGAAGCAGGAACTACAAGGTGCTTGTCACGACCAGTTTGCCGAGATGTGTATTGGTAATGTACAGCCAAAGGCACGAGACTGCTCCATATCCTAATGAACTGGGAGCCTGTGGCTGGCATGTTGTGTTTAAAGTAGAACACTGCATGTAAGACAGTATCCTTTTTTAAACATGTCTTGAAGCGTAACCACTGAAGAAGCCTGTTGTAGTACTGTGATAGGCAGTACCTTTTATCTAGGCAGTTTACAAGAGATAGCCTTCATAGAATTCTCTCAAATAGTAGGAGGGGCCAGATGACTGTTTCGGGAGAATATTTTAAAGCATAGATTGAATAGATAGGTTGTAACAGAGATAAAACAACTATGGATAAGTAATTAAGGATTGAACTTACTTAAACGGGAAAAATTGGAAAGGAAACTGAACTATGCTATGAATAAATGGCCATGCTTATGCAGCAGAACTACAAAATATACACTGTATCAGAGAAATTCACCTCTCAACTGCAGAAAGCAGTCAGGCATTCAAGGTCTGTGGAGGGAGTCCTTTATATGGAGAGGCTGCTGTGGAAAAAGCTGCTAATTAAAGCAAGTAGGATCAGTTCCTCTTTATCCTGTTGACAATTTAATGTTTAAAAATGACCCCTTGACTGCCTCGGGAGGTAAATCAGCAATGGGAATGTGCTTCTGATGAATGAGGGTGTCATTTTACAGATGGCCTTTTCTTTTGGGGGGGCAGGAGAGGGGAAGGTGTTCAAATTAGTAGATTAAGGAATACAATTCAAAAGAAACATTTTTTTTAAAGCTATCATTTTCTCCCAATGCTTTGCAGCACTGCCTCTGGAAGGCAGATGCAACTGTTAAAATCTATATTAAGTTCTAACTCTTACATTTGCAGAGTGATTTTTTAACCAGATAAATTGCAGGTATAGTTAACAGTGTAGTAATAGTCACACTACCTGTATCTGAAGATATTCTGGTGACTTAAAAACTCCATTATTAGACCAAAATCTACACATGCAAGCAATTGGCTATTACCTACTGTGCTGTTGTCCCAGAGTGACCTATTCCCCTCTAGTTTCTGTGTCTGGCTTACTGTAAATCATAATCATAAAGTAATCTTTGATGCAGATGCAGTGAAATTATTATGCTAAATTTCTTACCAGCTATTCTGATTGTGGTGGACCATGCTAATCAACTGTGTGAACACCAGGTATGCCTTTAAAAAAAATAATTGTTGCTTTGAGGATTTGAAAACTGCAGAAACACCTTTAATCCTATTAGAACTGATGGAATTTGCTCTACTCTTGTAAACTGATGTTCTCTAGACTAATGCCAGGTATGGAATAGTTTGAACTTTAGTCTTTCTACTGGAGAGATTAAAGAAAGAGGGAAGGCAATTACAAGTGTTACAATGGTAGAGATGCAGTTATGGGATTGTGCCCAGGATCTGCAGTTACAGCAGCATAATGCAGAATAAAATAAAACTCAGGCTTATTATTGACAAAGTCTTTTATTTCTGCTAATAAAACTGATGTGCCAATACAATGCTGAAATATCTGCAATAGTGTGCATATATTAAAGACATTTTATGTATTGACACTGCCTTTAAAAGTTTGAAAACACTGGGCAGCCTTTCCTCTCCTGGCAACAGGAGGCAATATTCCTAAGTGCTTTTGCTGAAGCATCTGCTCTGGTGCTGCCTTCCATTGGAGGTTTGGCCTTAACAGATAAGATGAATCAGCACAGATTACATTTCTTCACAGCCTGCAGCTCCCCATATCAAGAGTTCAGCTAAGCTGAATCCCTCAGTGGCCATGCAACAGACTTCAGTTGCATCAACAACACCCAACCAACTCATGCTCCAGTCTAGCTCATTGGATTATAAGTAGACCAGAGGTTTTGGCCATGCTGTAAATTGGTTTAATCAACTGCCAAGTAAATAGAGACAATTAATATACACATAAATTCTAGCGTATGTATTTGCAAATTATTTATTCTTGTCAGAGTTAGTGGATCTATGTAAAAACTTTCCCTGAATTGTTTCATGACATCCTTGTTTGTGTAAAATATGAGCTGGTACTCCTGGCTCTATTAACTAAATAACTAAATAAATTAATAACCAACAAATGTTTTTTTTAATGGATAGTTACTAAGTTTTTGCATCCAAACCTCAGCTAGGGGAGAAGGAGCACAACTAAAGACAATATGATCTGTCTACAACAGATCTCCTTTGAGTGATAGAGCGCAATTTTATGACTGTGGTGCTGAAGATGTTAAAGTTAAAATCAATAGAAAATTAAAATGAACCAAAAACTATCATGTTATTCTCTGAAGTATTCCAGGGAAATCACTAGATTACACAATTACTGTGGGGTAACTGCAGATTACTCATTTGGAGGCACATGCTGGCTACAGTAAACATACAAAATAGGAAGAATCAAAGTCTCTGTTAATTTTCTAACTTAACATCTGCAAAAAGAAAACTTCTTGTCTGACTGAAGACTGAGTTATTCTTCAAAAGAAACAAGAGTGAACCCAGGTTGTAATTTTGGACCTACTTTGTAGTTGGTTGTAAATAAAGCTTCTCAAACTGAGTTTGAGATACTAGAACTCAGAATGTTGAGGTTAGAGGCGTTCCAAATGGATCATTAATGATCAGAATGTGGTAACTGTTGCAATAAGGAGCAATGGGTGTAGGAAAGAGTGACCCATCTGTTGCTCCTGACTGATGGAGTAAATGGATTATGCAGAACACTTAGCCACCTCTTTGAGCAAGAACGTGATGCATCTGTGCTTGATACTGGATAATCCTTGCCACTGATGACGATATATGTAATTCGTAGGTAAAGCATTCACTGTGACCTTTGCTGGTAGCATTCCCTGAAAGAAGAGTATGAGCTGGCACAATTGTCAGCTTTCCTTTGTAAAGCTCTCTGGAGCACTGGGTAAGGGTCTGACTTGTTCTTTATTATGGCGATGAATGCTCTATGCTCTCACATCATTCTTTCTGCATCAGAAAGCAGGTTTTATCCAGTGTTCTAGAAGGCTGAGGAAAAGATTTGCTAACTAAAATTGCCTTGGCAGTCACCATTTGGGAGCGTGATATAAAGGGCAAGACATAATGTAATGCCACAAGTTGGCAATGCATTAAATGCTGAAAGTAGAAGTACTGATCTTTCTGCAAGCAGCAGTGACCACTGGAGCTTTTCTTCTAAGAAGAAAGGATCTTTATGATTCTTCGAGTAAGGATCATCTCTAACATCTAAGTGAATTTTCAAAGTAATTTTTTTGTCAGTCCATTCCATCCATGAAGTATGGAGACTTCAATTGAAATTCTTGTACCACTGTTCAGGGTAAGGTTTTTAACTTAGCCAGGTCAGTAACATACTACAGTCAACTTGTTTAAAAAAAAAAGTTAATTAGGGAACAGGGCTTTGTGTACAGGCTCATAAAATGGCTGAAGTTGCAGGGACCTCTAGAGGCTGTGTGGTTCAACCCTCTGCACAAAGCATCTAGAGCAGGTTGCACAGGACTGCGTGCAGCTGAATTTTGAAATATCTCCAGTCTCCAGGGTTGGAGACTCCACTGCCTCTTTGGATCACCTTTAGCTGTGTTGGACCAATCTCACGGTGAGAGTTTTCTTCTGTTTAAATGGAATTGCTTTTATTTTTGTTTGTGCCTGTTTCGTCTTGTTCTTTCAATGAGCCCCTGAGAAGAGCCTGGCTTCACCTTCTTTACTGTCCCTTCTTTGTCACATGGGCATGCTTCTTGTCTATGGTCAACTTGTCCACTGAGGGCCCCAGGTCTTCCTCTGCAAAGCTGTTTTGCCAGCCAGTTGGCCTCCAACTTCTACTGGTACAAAAGGAGAGGGAGGGCTAAAGAAAGATGAGAAGAAGAGAAGATGACAAAGGGAAAAGGGTAGGAGATGTGGTGAGGGGTAGGTGGGTGGGAGTGTGCAGAGGAATGCAGGCATCTGGAGACATCATGCTGGTTGCAACAGGCTGGTTTACCTCAGCCTCATTACACTGCTATTGAGGGAAGACCACATATCAATCCGCAAGTGCTCCTGTGCCTGGTAGTTTAGGCATGATTTAATGCATCCTGTAAACAGTGACATTAATACGAATCAAAAAGGGTATGTGAGTTTATTCTCTGAGATATATATGCTTCCAGGGCAGCAAGGACGTTTTCAACCGTCTTTGCAATGGCATAAGTTCTGGCACTTTTGGTATGATTTAGTAAAAGGTTTGCCTGGGCAGCTCACTCTGCCTTATTAAGTGCTGTCTATTAAGTCAGACTTTTCCAGGAAGGACTTTTAAGTAAAGCATCACAATGCATTAAAGGAACAAGCATAGTTTTATGACAAGACAGTAGTACAATATGTTAGTTGTGGAAGACATGGGGGAATCTGTGGTGAAAGAAGCCTTCTGTGGTCGCTTAAAGGATCACCTGGCATTCCTATTGTAATCCAGTGGTAATTCTCTAGAATAGATGATGCAGGACTACATTTAGAAGTCCTTTATGATGGTCCTAAAATGAGATAAGATTAATTCCAGTGTTCCATAACACACGTATGCATGTACATTTGAGAATATAACTCCTTATGTTTGGAAATCACACAGATGTATTGGGAATCTTTCATAGTTGAGAAGTAGTTGCAGCTATATCCTTATCATTGGTCCATCTCCACATCCGCTGTAAATAGGTCACTCAAAGTCAATGGAGCAGTACCTGTCTGCCCACTGTACTTTTGTTTGTTCTACATAAAATACGGTTTTCCTTTTGAAAGACTTCAGAGCTATGATCCATGTGATCCGTGCTAAGATGTTAAAACAATGGTTTATAGCATATTGTGCAACTTCAGATTACAGAGGTAGAGGTAGAATACTCTCTGTATACAAACCCACACTGAAAAACTAAGATAAGCTTTTCACATGGTACGATTTTAGAAGGTAGAGCTAAGTGGAGCTGAAAGCAATGCAACCACTTTTAAATATTGATAATGCTCCTTTGCTCGGTTTTAGCATTTTATACCAATGTAGATTAACAGTGTAACTGATCAGGACAGTAACTAATCATGATGTTATCTCTCAAACAACTCCCCTTGCTTCAGTTTCTGAGTAAATGGTTAAAGGTGTATCATGTAATCAGACACTTGAAGGCACTCAAGCAGTTTGGTTAGTTAATCTGTAGTTCAGTTAGTTTTTGTAGTTCATATAATGTCTATTATTATGTGGGAAAACACTGTGAGATAATGAGAATATTATATACAAAGGAATAGAACTAGTATACATCCAAAGTGTGAATACAAACTAGTATTGTAGCATTCTATTTATAGTGGTGGATTCAAGGGGATCTCCATTTCTGTTTCTATTAGCATTTGAGCAGAGACTCTGCATCATGAAGGTAATTAATCTCAGTAATCAACCAGGAAAAAACCCCCCAGTTTTAGATGTCTTTTCACGCTTCGTCTTGCTTACTGCTGTTGGCTAATTCCTCTTTGTTATTTGATGTAGACTGCCTTGTATCCATCCCTGCAGTCACATAAATGATATGAGTGCATACAGAGAGTCCTAATTCCATAGGAATTTTGCACATGACAACCAATTTTTCCACTTAACCATAATCAGTTCTTCAGTAGTATTGTGGGAGTGGTATGCCCTCAGAGTTCTCTTTACCTGCATCCAGGCACATGTCAAAGCCTATGTCCCTTTTCATAACCTGCTGCCTCTTCCTGCCAAGTTGAGAGGCCCCAGTCCATGTTTCAGTGAAGTTCCCCTTTGACCCACCCTTCAAAGGACAGCAGCCAGTCACCTCTGTCTGAACCCTGCTTGCTTAAGGTCTCCATGGTGCTACAGAGAAAAGGAGATTGATCACCTTCTCACTGAGCTGGTTGGCTGTGTAGTGCCAAAAAGACTTGTTGGCTGCCACTCCTGACCTGCAGGCTCTGGTCATCCAACAGGTCTGAGATGGCAGGAGAGTTCAGTCTTTTAAGACCAGATTTACTTATGCGAGGATATTTGACTTCTGTTGGATTTTGATTCTGCAAAGTGATACAGCATCATGCCCAAATCACAACCCAAGCATGGTATTGCAATTGTAATATACAGTGTTATCGCCATGCAAACTGCTTCCTTGTGCCAGTCTGCATGCTCCACTATCTGGAAGGAGGAGAGTTAGTCCTAATTAGAGAGGTCCAAAACCATGGATTGAATAAAAATATAGCCTGGAAATGTTCAGATTACCTGCACAGTGTGGCATTGTCAATATGTTCCCTAGCAGTTTATGTTGCGGTGCTTAGTTTGGAAGTGTATGTTGTATTTTTTCCCATGTTAAACCATGACTCTCATTTTATCCAGTACTTCTGAATGACAAATCTTTTACTTTGCATAAATCAGGTCCTGACACTTGTTGGAAGTAAAAGAGGAGCCTGCGTAATGTTGGGTTTTATTTGGAGATTGAGTCAAGGACTGCAGGTTAATTGTGCGTGACCTTTCACATCTGAGATATGTCTGCATGGAGGAGGAGGCACAGGTCCCTTGAAACATCTCCTAGGATCAAGGCTTTTTCTAGCTCCATGGGGAGTTTCAGGTTTAAATAGCAATTAAATCAGATGTAGCCAGTGTGCCATCAGTGTGTGACGTGCCAGCTCTGCCGTGCGGTGTCTTTGTGTCCATCCTTCATGGCAGGGATTTACACCAGGATGTAAGCCTACAAGTGGTTAATGTAGTGTAAAGTGTTATCACTGTTGATTTTCAGGCGTTCCGGCTGAAGCGAGTTAATTTTCAATTTTCCATAGTAAAAAAAGAGAGGCAGGGAGCAGCCTACATAAGATGTTTATGCTACAAACTGCATATACACAAGGCTATATTAACCTTTGAAATACTCGTAAACAATTTCTGTGGAGAGCAGGGACAACTTTTAAGCAGCAGGAGCCCAAATGTGGAAAGCAGCATATGTGCATCCCATTTTCTGTGCCGTGGTGCTGGAGCCAGTGCTGTCGGGTGAAATCTCATAATGAAGCAGTTGTTTGAGCAGTTGAGTTCAGCTCAGCAAAGCAGCTCTTGAACTAACGTGGATGCCTGTCTGCCAGTAAACAGATAATTACACACCATTGTTTAATGGAATTTTCATGAAAACCGAAATATGTTTTTGTAAAATCCACCATGAAAATGTGTTCTGCTTGTGGACCTTGCATATAGAGTTCAGGGTATTGGGGGTGGGGAGGGGTATCTTTCACGTGCAGAGGTAATGCTCTATCTGCTGTACAGTCTGCAGTGGGGAGTCAAACATACCCTGAGATTAGCTCAGTTGGTTAGAGCATCATGCTAATAATACCAAGGTTGTGGATTTGATCCCTGGATGTCTGTTCACTTAAGAGTTGGACTCGACCCTAGTGGGTCCCTTCCAACTCAGAATATTCTGTGATATATAAGTGACTCCCTCATAGCTTCCACAGAGGAAAACTCTTTTGCTTAAGCAGAGGACCTGTTGTTTGGTTTTCAGAAGTCCTTTTGATTTGGATGACCAAATTTAGATACCTGGAAGGCACTGCAGCTATAGATACACTTGAGGAATCTCACTGTGCTTCCCGGAATAGTTCTAAAAAAAATAAGAATTTCTCTGACTGACTTTTCTTACTGTCCCACTAATTTACTCTGGTCCTGAAAACCTTTGAACAGTGGCCAAAGTCACTTTTTTGGAAGGTTTTTTTCTTTTATGTTACCTTAATTGCTGAACATAAATCTTGGCCACTCTGTCAACCTCTAGTTTCTCAGATTTGTAGCATTCCTATTCCTGAACTAGTATTTAAATTTAGTTTAGTCTCTTGCCACAAGAATCAACCTTTAACAGATTGACAAAGAAATTGACAATTAAGAGATGCAAGTTATGCCATGCTTTTTTGTTAAGTGTTTGAATTTCATGAAATAGGAGCATGTTGTCAAATATATAAGATATACACACATGGAATGTGATAGTCTGAAAAGTCTACAAAGAGATTCTAAAGAGTCTTCTACTTATACTCCCAAAAATCAATAATCTGCAGAAACAATGTGGTCTGTAATCCATTACACTGAAAGCTCTGGAGAGCAATAGGAGCCACATGGAACAGAGCCATGTGTATTTAAATTGAATGCCTTATAAAATTAGATGAATAAATGTCTTGGAATAACACACACACTTTTGTAAATATACAGGTTGCACCAACTGGTACATTAAAAATAAGAAAACAAGAAGCTGGAAGAGTTGCTATTACCAGGAAGATCCGAACCAATGGACTGTATGGATATAGATATGTTTGAAGGCATCTGCTCTTCCCGTTACAAGGTAAGGCACAAAAGGATTTCTCTGCTGGTTTGCTTCTCTTCAGTGCAGTGCAGCTCTCTTTTGTGGCACTACCCAAGTTGGTGGTGTTCTCCAAAGCTTGTTCAGTCTAACTGTGGCCAGTTATTAATAACAGTGTATAAATGGATGATATGCACACCTCAAAAGGCCTCAAATTCCAAAAGCAAATGATAAATGTGGATCCTTGGAGCCTGTAAAATTCAAAATTTTGTTACGTGAAGTATCTGTTTAGATAGCTCTACAGGTTGTCTATTTTTAGTATGTGCTAATAGAAGACCTTCCAACTCACCTAAGATGTCTTTTTTTTTTTTATATGCTTGTTAATTGCCGTACATTGAAGTAGACTTGAAACCTGTACTTAATGTGACAGCTAGTCACGAGAAAAAGTCTCAACTGGATACCAGAAAATATCTCTAACTGGAGATGCAAGTTATGCCATTTTCTTTGTACAGTTTTAGTGTTCTTTCACTTTCAGGATTGTTATATGGTTTGTTTACAAAATGTGCTGCATTTTCCTTTTTTTTCTGTCAATAAAAATAATTACTTTTTGGTTTAAGCTGTAAGATGGTGGAGATCTTAATACATTTTCTGGGCATCTTTTACCTGATGGCTGGATATACTGTCACTTGTTCTGAATGTTTCTTTTACTGAGTTGTTTTCAGGGAAGGTACAAAACAGATTTTCAAGAAGTTACTTGAAACTGTAGAAATACTTGGGAAATACATGAACTGGTTTTAAAGTAAAATTTCTCATTTTCAAGATGATGTAGTTCTACATGGCTGGGGAATGGCTATGTGGGACTTCTTTGTATTTTAATAATTCTGATCAACACAAGTTTGTTACAGAGCAAATGCAAAACCATACCAGCTCTATGTTACCCAGAGGCTCAAATCAGGCAGCTGTGTAGTTGCAAAAAGAGGCTGGAACTGGAACTTAACTGGTGTCTGCTTTAACCCAGAGAGGCTAAAGAGAGGACTTCCAGCTGAAGTCAGCATGACACTTCATTCCTCCATTTTCACCAGTCAGTGAAAATGATAAGGAAACAATCTTGTACAAGTGCACTGCCGTTGCTTCTATTCTGAATGGAAATGCCGACCACCAATATTATCAGTCTGCCATTTTCACAAGCATGAGACAACCACTCTTATTCTTCTTTTGTGGAAGAAATAAAATGAAGAGATCCTAAGCTGGGGAATGTAACAGACTATGGCACTGCATCCTGCAGAAATAGAAAGGGCTCCCTGGTATGCTGAAATAGCAGGAATGAAATGTGTGAAGTATTCAGAAAATACAAAGATAAGTAATAGCAAATACAACTTACAAGGAAAAACACGTTCAGACCCTTGAGTACTTGGAACATTCCAGTAATTTTCCATAATTGTTGTTATGAAGGAATGTACATAGAATCTGTATTGCCACCAGTTATGGCCAGCTTCCACAAGTGTAAGTACCTGCCTGGTCTGTGCTTTCTTGTTTGAACACCTTTAAGAAAGGTGTTTGCCAGGGGGAGGGGAATGCCAGCTTTGGTTCTGCATATGTGAGATCACAATACCTTTTCCTGTTGCCACCTTGCCTGCTTTAATCACATCCTTCTCTGAATTGGAGCTTCTGAGTTTGTGCTTCTTGGCCCGGCAGGGAGCCCAGCCTTGGACAAGGGCCTCTGGCTGTTGCGTGGCAAGTAATCCTTCCAAATAGGATTTGCATTCTTGCAGCAGCCATTCTGGGGATAGAGAATGAATACATGGAGGCAAATTCTGCTTACACAGACATAGCTCAAGCCCAGCCATTCAGAACACAAGTTGATGACAGACAGAGTTGCACAAAAATTGAGTACTTTCTGAAAAGAACTGGTACTAGTGGCTAAGAAAAATGTTCAGGGTCAGAGTGTTCTGCAGTGTCTTAGTTAACTGGATTTATAAGCACTGCTTCACAGCAGAAATGTTGTTAGAGCCCCAGAGTTGCTTTGTTAGTTTTCATTTGCCAAAGGCTGTTGTCCCTGCAGAGTTGCTGTGTGGAAATTTGAGCTTGCAACCCAGCTACTTCTGTGTATGGTCTTGGTCTTCATTTAAAATTTCATTGCTCTTTCAGTGTTGTGCTGTCTCTGCTTTAAAGCACCTGAGATGGTCTACTATAGTGACTCTTGTATTTGGGGTGGTAGCCTGAGACTGCAGGGTAGCATAAATAACTGGAGGTAATAGTGGCTTAAATCAAAGCCAGACTCTGAATCCCTGAGCTTTTATATTGCGTTTTATTTATGGGTATGATTCTTGATAGCCTTCTGGGTGTGTTTATCTTTTTTTGGCTGAGAAATGATTGAAACACCAAACAAAGCTTAGGAAGTGAAGGAACAAGCTACCTTCTGGTTTATACCCAACACAGTTATTCTGATATTAACAGAAGCTATGTGAGTTTCAGTTAATATTTTTCAGCAATCTGAGTTTTAAATGAAAGCCTTAAGAAGAAGCGCCTGAAGACCTCTGGGAAATCATGGATTAGAAAAGTTCAAAACTGAATAAAAATTTCCTTCAACTTATCCAAATGTTTTGTAGCTCATGTTTAGTTGTATGTGGGGTTTTTTTGGTTTTGTTTTTTTTCTTTTTTCTTTTTCTTGCTTTCACTGCAGAACATAGGGATGTGGTTTTTTCCTGTATTGAAGCACTGGTAATTTATAATTGAAGCATTTATTTTCAAGCTGAAATCAAAATGAGTTGATTTTGCTAAAAGTTCACAGTTCAGTGGAAGATTTCCTTATAGTTAAATAAATAAATTTATTTTGCTTATGACTTAGTCCTGTCTTTCTCATATCTGGTGCATTGAATTTTATGTTCCTATTATTCACTTTTCTAGTAGTGCTAAGGGACCCCAGGCCTTGATGAGGCCTCAATTGTGAGATGTACTGTGCTGGGTCCCCACATAAATTGCAAATGCATCCTTCTGCAAAGAACATATGATCAAAGAGGCAAAAAAGATTATGACATACATGGGTATGACCCAGTAGCACAGGGACAGTGAGACATTTTTCATCAGCATGGGTAAGCAGTGGCTTCCAGAACCTGCAGGCAGCCATTTACATACACAACTCTATAGCCTTGAGGTGACTGTGTGCTAAGGTGGTGGAGAATCAAAGTGTTTCATCCATGCAAGTGGGGAAGGATCTGAAGAATTGCCCATCCCATCACTATAGTACTCCTTCTACACTGTTTTAATTTGAATAAGAGCAGTTTGATTTAAATCCACTTGGAAGTGGGAGCAGCTTCTTGGCAGTGGGGGGAAGCCTTTTCCTTTTGGAAGTGAATGTGACGTACAGCTCGCCTGTCCTGCTGTGTAATTTGTCCTGACATTTGCTGGCACAGTAAATTCTTACTAACTGCAGTGACACTTGCCCTGTGTGACATAATTCGGAAGACTTTTTTATAATACTTCCACTTGAACTGAAAGCAGCCAAACTGTCTTTTCTAATTTCAGCTCTCTTGATCCCTTGTCCCCGATGATAAGTTCTGCTTTGCAGTGTTTCCCAGCAGTGCCTGAGATAGCAGCTAGCAATCCAAGGTTTTTCCCCTGTCGCTACTCAAGAGCATGCTAGAAGTCATTGATCCTTTATGAGCTAAATCCTGAAGGAGTTAGCTTCAGAAGTTAGCCCTCCTAAAGCAGACATTAAGATATAGAAGTAACAACAGAGCCACCTAGTAATAAGATGTTTGTTCTTGCCTCTATTTATTACTACTAACATTGGATGCTAGTCACAGAAGATTACATTCAAAACCCATCAAAAGGAAAAGGTTATGAAGCAAGATCAGAGTCTAAACAATCAAAAAGAATGCATTTCTTCTAGTTTTGATGTGAGAATTATTACAACTTTATTTTTAATTTGTTTCTGCAAGGAGAGTATTCAGTATTCATCAGTAAAGAATACCTAAACACTTGTTGCTACTTAGTCATCTATTCAAGCAGCATGTGAGATGTGGCAATTATTTCTTGATGACTAGATGAAAAATACAGTTGTTTTGATAACATTTCATTCACATTGATGCCACTGAATGTGCATAATTCACTCCACTTGATGATTTGGCCCTGACAAATTTGATTACTAACAGAAAACAATAACATATCTTTTGGGTTGGTAGGAGCCTACCATGTATAGAGGGGGTGAAAAGTTCTGTGGGTGCAGTTAAATGCTGTCAAGTGTGGTAGGGAATTCACCAGTAAGTGGAGGAAGTTTGGGAGTATGACCTCTTGTTCAATATCTAGTATGAAAGTAAATTGGTATACTGTGTAAAATTAGAGTGGGAAATCTGATAAAAGGACAAACTTGCTATGAGACTCATCTAAGAGGGTCCATCAGTACTGGCAAAAAGAAAGAAGCAGGAACCTGGTCATGCAGGATGTGTAGTGCTTCCTCTGGTTTCTCATCAAACATAGAAATGAAAACTGGGATACTTTTAGGTGTCTACTTGTTTAGCCTCAGGGTCCTCACAACCCATAAGGAGCCTTAGTTTTGAGGACAACCTCCTATCAGCTATGTGGGGTAGGGAAATGCCCTTATCCCACCGCCTTCCCCCTCCCCCCCATACAGATGGCCACTGAGATTAGCCCAGGATCACGCAAAGCAGAGATCTAAATTCCACTTCTAAAACTAAGCACCAGACCTGGCTATTCACTCAATGCTCTTACATCCGTGGGCTGATCTTTCTGCAGAATGAGTGGGCCTATCCTCAGTTAGATTAAGGATCAGTCTGTTAAATTTCAGCTGTGCATTTCTAGGTCATATTTAAAGTGAGTAAAAAGGTCACACTTCAGTTCAACTATTTGCTCTTCAGGAAGAGAACCAAAAATAGTAAATGGAATACAGAGAACTACAGAAATTCAAGGGAGACTCAGTTTTGGAATTCAGCTTCTTACAAGAAGGAGGCCAAACTGAACTTTTAAACTAATCTGTCTGCAAAGGTGAGGTTGCAGCTGAGACAGCATCATCTTGTTGTGCTAAAGAGGTCCCTGTAAATGAAGATCCTCATACAGGAAGTTAAGTCAGTACAGAAAATGTATACAATATGACTGGTGTACTTGTTTTTGTATCTGTGGTATTAATTACATGTTAAATTACTAAAAGTGAATTTTTAAAGCTCTATTGGTGATATAACCTTTCTTTTTTGTTTCTGGTTTTGTTGGGGTCTTTTTGTTTTTTTGTTTTTTTTTTTTTTTCTACTTACATGCATGTGCTAATTGCTTAGATTTAGTTAGTTGTAAAACTGCTTAAGAGCCAGCCTTTGTAAAAGCAAATGCAGAGTAACATTCTTTTAAAAAAACTGTCATTCGGCATTTAGCACCCCAAGAGCAGTGCTAAGAAGTCAAAGGAGTGCCTGCAAGTAGGAAGGCAGAAGCACGTCAAGTGAAGTTTCTCAAGTGAAAGCCAGCATCCTCTTTTGCACATACTGGGGATGTTTAAAGCTGTGAAGATCTAGCAGACTACTGAGTTGTTGAATCTAAGTGCTTAGAAAGTGGGGAAAGATTTTGACTTTTAAATGTTCTGTAAAAGCCTATTTTCATGCATTTCAGTGTAGGATTCAAACTTATTGTTGGCTTCTTTCTGAATGTGTATAGGCGTGGGAAACTGATACATATGATAGACTATAGGTCTAGTCAGAAGAAGGAACGGTTGTGTTTTTTTCTAGAAAGTGAGACAAGATCTGAGCATGGCCTTACCCACAGGATCTGGTTGGGGTTTTTTTGCATGGCTTTAACTAATTTCCTAATTCATCCACCTTAAATCTTTCCTTTGGTTAAATGGAGTAGTAGTTTCTTTTGGCTTTGGGAATGAAATGCGGGAGGGAGGGAATATATGTGCAGTTGCTGAAGATCCAGATTGTTAAAAATGCAGACTACTGCTACTATATGACTGGTCTAGTTTGAACAACATAATCAGCAGGCAGCATTGTCTAAGCATCCTAGTGAACTGCCAAACAAGTATTTAATATACTAAATCCTCTTTTGTGTTGTTTTTTGTATGCGTCAGTGTCATAACTCTTGTTCTCTTTTATAGCTATTCAGAGAAAAGATTGGTGCTTTTCTGAAAGCTGTATTCTTTGTCCTAGTTCTTTTTCTGAATACTCTGAAGAATAGTACTTCTTACTCATTTAGCTGCATCTTCTGCTGGCTTTCCTTGCTCAACTTAGTCAAATCATAGAGGTAGGATATATTGTCTGTAAACTTTAGGTAGTTCAGCAGTTCTGCCTTTTATGCTGAATCTTTTTTTTCCCCACACAATTCTCCAGAAGAACTTTCAAAGCTAAGAATGACTTCAGAGTTACCTTGATCTATTCTTCTTTCTGATTTGGTCTGTTAGCTGCTCTTGTGATAAAGATAACTGTTCACCAAAAATGGTGAAATGTAAAATCTTATTCTCAGAGTTTTCCTTTAAATTGAAGGGTGTTTTACCTATCAAAATAGATATATTAATTTGCAGTTGTTGCTTT